ATGAAACAAGCTGGTTTTTATACTGCCGCTCATACCAAGAGCGTGGTGAGCTGAAACCTGCGTGCGTCACGAAGTGCGGAACATCCAATAGGAAAATTCAACTGCAGTAGCCACCGATCAACCTGAAAAGGGCAGCACTAAGACGTTTTTACACCATATATTGTAGAAATAAAACACTTTATACACAAATGTCAAATAAGTTACTCGAATCAATGACTGGTATTAATAAAGATCCATTCTTACAGATCATTAACTAAAAAAAGTTGGTTTAGGGTTTAGTTACTCTATAAGTAAAAGTACCGAAGTACTTGTTTTTAAAAGTACTTGAGTATCAAGAATACAAGAGTATATTTTCTAAATGTTGCATTACTACTGTCACAGTGCTTACATTTGGGGCGGCAGTGGCTCAGTGGTTCATGTGGGTTGTCTACAAACCGAAGGGTTGGTGGTTCAATCCTCGGTTCCACCTGACCAAGTGTCGAGGTGTCCATGAGCAAGACACCTAACCCCAGCTGCTCCTGACGAGCTGGCTGGCGCCTTGTATGGCTGACACCGCCGTTGGTGTATGAATGTGTGTGTGAATGGGTGAATGTGAGGCAATATGTAAAGCGCTTTGGTGGCCATTAGGTCTATGAAAGCGCTATATAAATGCAGTCCATTTACCATTTACATTTATGTACAGAAACGTCCAACATGGAGTTATAAAAAATGTTAATGTTAATACCTTGGAGAATATAAAAGGATTTGAAAGTAAAATCAAGTCATTTTCATCTTTTTATCATGTTGCTTTATTTAACATTTAAGAAAATTTCATAAAAATTCAGAAAATTGAAATAGTCTGGCGAGGTGGGGCCACAGGTTGGCACATTCACGGGATACTAAACACTATCTTCATCCATTGCTGCGTCTTCATCCATTGTTTTGTCCATGGTTTCGTCTCTTATCTAAATCTGACCATGGAGTTATTTGGTGGAAAGATGAAGGTGATTGCTGATAGGCTGTCCCAATAAGTGGCGCCTGCACAATCCAATCACGTTTGAGAGGGAAATAACAAATTAAGGGTTTCCGATATTTTTCTTTTTTCCATTTTTTTTTTTTTTAGTAGTAATTGGTACGCATGGTTATGGATAGAAATGTAGTGGAGTACAATATTTCCCTCTCAAATGTACTTGAGTAAAGTCATGAGTACTCCCCAAAAATTATACTCGTACATTAAATTGTACTTAAGTACTGTACTCAAGTAAATGTACTCCATTACAACGCATTCTCACCCCAAGGCGTCACCTTTGACCATGCTTCAATATTTGACGTTTTAGGCGCCCTTTAGCGTCACTTACATGACGCGATCCTACGGCGTCATCTAACTGACGCTAAAGGAAAGCGTCAGTTAGAGGACGCGGTTAGGTTTAGGTGTGGGGTGGGGGTAGGGTACACGCGATCCTAGGGCGTCATCTTACTGACGCTAAAGGGCGCCTAAAGCGTCAGATATTGAAGCATGTACAAATGCTTCCCAAGGCGTCAGTTAGGTGACGCCTTGGGGGTGAGAATGGGCTGTCCATTACTGTCCGGCTCTGGAGACAATGATATTTAGGTGTGGGTAATCTACTAACAACACAGGCGCTAAAAAGTGTGGCTTGGCAAACAATGTTCAGATAAGGTACAGACTGGCATTCCAAGTAAATCTACACTAGAGGAGAAAATTCTCTCCATTCTAACACGCGCTCTCTTTTCCCTGCAGCACCTCCACAACAGCAACGATCACATTCATGTCAAGCGCAAAAATGGGTTATGACATGCTTTTTGGGTGTTGGTGCGAATACCAGTAAATTGACTACCGCAAATCTTAGTAAATCACGTTCCATTATTTATTCAAACACTCTCCTCCCCTAAATTTTGTGTCTGAAATGGAAACTCTTTAAAAAGTTACCCTGTCCATGCCTTTTCAACACTAATTTTTCACTATGTGTGTCTTTAATAAATACTAACAGTAGTTTTTTAACACTTAATGAGTGTTTGTGCTGGTATAAGCTGTATCATATTCTCTGTTTTACCTCAAGGATACCACCTTTTCCCTATCATTCTATGTTTGTAATCTTTGTTCGGTTCTTCCTTCTATTCTGTCCTGCTCTTCCCTTTCATCTTCTCTCTCTCTCTCTCTCTCTCTCTCTCTCTCTTTCTTTCTATACCCCCCCCCACCCCCACCCCTCCCTCCCTCTCCTGCTCCAGCTAATTGCCGCAGAGCTCACTGATAGAAATCAATGTGCAATGTTTGATTGTGAGCCAAAGCACAGGAAGGTGAAGCAGAGCAATGAACATCACAAATACACAAACATACAAACTCAGCACTTGCATTTCTGATGCTCAGATGAGTACGAAGAGGTGTCGAACACAAACATTGTGCATTTGTTGGGTTTCTCACAGAACCCCTGAATCAATCTGACCTTAACGCCATTAGCTATATTTGAGCTTGCTTATTATTCATTTATTGCATTAAAGCCAACCTCAAATGGCTTTGAGCAGCATACAATGCAATAACAGACAAATCCAACAGAGTAAAAGATGCTGCTACTGCTTTACAATCTATTAGAAAACATTTTCAGCCTTTTTACATTGAGACAAAATTTAAAGAGATAGTTGTGAAAATGTTGTGAAATGTTGAGAAATGTTGTGATAGAGGAGGGCTTCAGCAAATTTCCAAGGGCCCAATTATTCAAATTAACACATTATTATTAATACAAGTAATATGAATATTAATATATTGAAAGAAACTAACTTACAACTGCATCATTAAAGGGATACTCCACTTTTTTTTTGGAAATAGGCTCATTTTACAACTCCCCCAGAGTTAAACAGTTGAGTTTTACACTCTCAGAAAAAAAGGTACAAAAGCTGTCACTGGGGCGGTACATTAAGGTACCAATATGCACCCTTTAGGTACAAAAATGTACCTTTTGAAAAGGTACCGCCCCAGTGACAGCTTTTGTACCTTTTTTCTGAGAGTGTACCATTTTCGAATCCATTCAGCCGATTTTCTGATATTTAGAAGAACATCAGTAACCAGACAGTTTCTGGTCTCATTGACTTCCATAGTAGAACAAAAAAAAAAAAAAAATACTATGGAAGTCAATGAGACCAGAAACTGTCTGGTTACTGATATTCTTCTAAATATCAGAAAATCATCTGAATGTACTTGAAAACGGTGAAACTCAACTGTTTAACTCTGGGGGAGTTATAAAATGAGCCTATTTCCAAAAAAGTGGAGTATCCCTTTAAATTAAGTTCATTAAAATTAAAAAACTAATAAGTATGATTTCTGATTATTTCCCAGCTTATTTATCATAATTATAGTAGGAACACTGGAGGACATGTCTTACCTTACTGTATGGCCTTAAGATTGTTTTGAACTTTTGAGGGGCTTTTGAGTCAAAATGGTTGGGACCACTTATTTTTCCTTTTTGTAATTGAGCACTATTCAAAAGTTGTATTCTGACAAAATATTATTTTTTTTGTGATTCACAATTATTTCATTATAGTATTTAGTATATATTATATGAATAGTGTATATATGAATAGTATTTTTTTTACCAGTATCAGTGGGTAATTTTTTTGAGGAATGTCAAAAAGCAAGACGTATTTCCCATTATCTTTCACTTAAAAAGAACTATTCTGATTGGCTGGTGGCACTACAAGAACATGCACAGTCCCAAACCTGAGAGACTGTGCACGTTCTTGTAGTGCCAGCCAAGCAGAACAGTTCTTCTTCAGTTCTTGAGTGATTAGTCACAAGACATTTTACAACTCTAATTATAAATCCACTCGCTTCTAGACACAATTGTTTTGCATATTTTAAATCATGCATTTTCAGCTCCAGCCAAGCAGCCACTGAGATGAATGTGAATGCTAACGTTTGGCTTTTTCTCCAGATATTATAGACCTGCTTGGTTTAACAGTCATTTTGATTGCAATTCCATTTGGTGACACGAGTGGCACAGAAATTACAAACTTCACCTCAAAGTATTCTTATAAACTGCATTATTCTATTTTCTTAAACCAAAAGCTGTCATCTTGAAGCTGAAATGAAAATCAATACTGACAGAAAAAAAAAAAAAACGAACAGACTAACCCTGTAAAAGCAGAAGGTACAGCTCGCCTGTTATCTTTCTTCTCGGCCTGAAAGCCTAGTGGAACAGACTGTATGGAGTAGAGAGACTCGTGTAAATCTGTCTCCAACATGAAAGCTTCTTTGATAGGCCTCTACTCTCATCTCATCTCCACAAGCATGCCACTAATGTTCTGCCTCCTAGCCAAAATATCCCCAGCAACACCTGGCACCAAGAAGAAGTAGAAAAAAACTGATTAAATCATTAGAGAAACACATGGGAGGATGGAAAAGAGATAGTGGGAGATGAAGGAGGGAGAGTGTGGAGGTAACGGAGTGGGGATTGGATGAACAACTTCATAAGCTTGGCACTGTGCTCCTGGTGTCGTGCCCGTTGTTTATGTCCACACACACATCAAAGGCTGTGGTAATCGCTGCTGTTTGCAGGCCCACATCACCAATTCACCTTGACTGACCTGTAATGCGCTACGGGGCCAAAGTAGTGGCGGAGGGTGGCAGGTTCCTCACTGAGCAGGCCAGAAAGTGTCTGAAGTGGGCATTAGCATGTCAGGTTCTTCTAGAAATCTTAATAAATGAACATTAGGATATGAGCTTCCCATAGCACAGCGGTTGGAGCAGCTCCAGGTCTTCACCAGCTGTGCTGCTCTTGTTTACAAGCCGCCGCCTGCTGCTGGAGTGGCGTCGCAACAGGCCTCTGCTCCGAACCGCATCCTCGGGCTCGCTTGAGTAGCCGAGCCCAACCCGAGTGCATGTGCGCTGGGTCTAAACATCCTTACATGTCCCTTGGTGCCCTCTGAATAAGCATAAACTTTAACAAAACGTGAAAATGTGGTGTTTGAATTCACAAACCTAACTCTGCAACTATGCTTCTCTGTTACAGGAAACTTCAAAGGATTGTGTAAGCAGATAGATCACTTTCCAGAAGACACAGATTATGAAGCAGATGCCTCAGAGTACTTCTTACGTGAGTGCCTCCTTAGTGTTTCTGTGACAGTATTCATGTTCTCACCATCTTGTTCTTCCTTGTTCAATCTGTGAGGCATTTCAAGTAGTACCAGATATGCTATTTTTGTTACTTAAACTAGATTAAACTACTTAAAAAGTTTGGGGAAGGTTATTTCCAGGCCCCCAAAACTCTGCAGGGTTTTCATGATTCATAGACTTAAACAGTCTTTGCTAATAATTAAAAATTGTTTAAAAAAATATTAAAATAGTATTATTATTCAAATAAAAATGATAAAATATGCTGGATATTTTAGCTCTTATTTAGACACCAATAAGAATGTAGTAATCTATCCTCTAGCTGTTTAAAAAAAAAATTATTTGTTATTTTTAATTAATAAGATAATCAAATATAATTTTTTTTAAATTATTAATTAAAATATAAATTGTGGGTTATTTTAGCTTTCAGAAACAAATAGGAATGCAATACTCAATCCGCTGTTTAAATAAACTGTTATTCTTGTTCTAAGTTTTTTTTTTTAATTAAAACGTAATCAAATATTAAAACTCTATTAACATTAAATAATGTGGGTCATTTTAGCTACCAATAACAATGCAGTAATCTAACTGGCAATTAACACATTTCACCATGTTTACTGTCAATTCTTTTCACAAAATTCAGCAGATTTCACAGCAACAACAAAAATCGGCAAAAATGCAATCAATACATAAACATATAAATAAAAATAAATTCCGTCTGGGCCTGGCAGCCGTTTCTGCTGGCAATGAAGTGTCTCTCACGCTAAACGACTGCAATAGAGATGTATTTCAAGTAATGTCCTAGTTTTTACTTTGTTCCACCTATATCTTTGGTTTCCTCATGCTGTTCAGCCATGTAAGGATGGTCTGTTGTCTCTGCGGGAGAGTGTGAATGTTTCCTCACTCTGTTTAGACTCTCAGCAGTGGCAGACTCTCCAGCTCGTACAGTATAGCTCAACTAGGCCCGATCACAGTACACTGGCTCCCTCGTAAACACAGAGCATTGATTTCCACTCTTTTTTCGTCTGTGCAAGCAGACCTGGGAAGTGAGTGTCAAACAAGCCTCATGCATCAATCCTAAACTCTCAAGCAGGACTATCAGTTACTGTCATCAAAACAAGGGCCTGAATTGACAGGAAACAACATGGTAACAACCAAGAGTAATTAAAGATTCTTGAACTGTTGTGGAAGAGGACAATGGCAGACTGGAGAGAGAGGAAAAATTAGTCTAAGTGCCGGATTTACTAAGTGCCCATTGGGACTTTTTTTGGACTGGCTGAACAAGTGCTAAAGCAGTGTTAACTTTGTCAACGAAATTACTGACGAAAATGTTGATACACAGGGCAACTTTTTGAGCAATGTTACTGGGCAACGTTGCCGTCAATGGGCAACCAGATGAGACACAAGGCCCACGACCGATCGACTGATCTAAATTATCCAGAAATGTATTGGGAAAGAAATAGAAATGCAATCCAGATAGAAATGAAATGGAAAAAGTGCCCAAGCAACAATCGCTCGGCAAGATTGCCAAACAACATTGCTCAAAAAGTTGTCCTGTGTATCATCGCCTTAACAGTTTGCAGTTGTGACTTTTAAAGTCACGGTTCGTGTGTTTTTGGTACAGCAGTTATCATTTAATGACGTTGATGTCATCTCGTCTGAGGCAAGCCTATTCTACATGACTTTTGGCAGGATTTTGCTGTCGCAGACAGATTTCCAAGGTCTGAGACAAAACCCCAGGATCAGTTGATATTATCGCCATGTGATCTTAGTGCGTGCAATGCAACGACAAGGTGGAACTAATCCAGCCAATCACAGTGCAGATAATATAAATGGAAAGCTCTCATAATCCTTTGCGTGAATTTCTCGCTTGACTTTATTTTTTTCCCCTCTGTTGGTCAGGACTGCCTCTTTACCAAATGTCTGGTAGTCTTTACCAAATGTCTGCTAGTGCACCTCGTCAGCATTGTGTTGTGTAGTAGGCTATTTGTGTTGCTATGACAATATGACGACAGATGACAAAAAAAAAAAAAAAACAGTGTGAGCACCACAGCAGAGCAGTTCAGGTAGTCTTACAGTAATCATGAAAAAAAGGTCATCAACAAAAGTTTATTTGTCATAGATTTTGTTACTGAAATTAACACTATTGCGCTCTGTTTGTTTCCGGGGTCCGCGACTCGTTTATTGAAGTGTAACAGAGACTCGCTTGCTGTCAGGATGAGCCATTATGCAAAATGGAAATACTTGTGTGACCTTTAACATTTATAGATAATGATACAACCGTAAAATGTCAATTATGCGCAGAGGAAAAAAAAGGTCTCAAATGCATTAAATAGCACAAGCATCTGACAGGAGGACAGGCCACTTTAAACTGCAAGCTTATGGGTTAGTTTGAAATGCTTATTATACAGCACGTCTAATGTTTTGGACAACTTGGATCATGTTCCGTATAATACATAATAATAAATACATTTGTTCCGTATAAACAAACAAAAACACTGACAATGAATAACTAAGCATGGCTGTTGTGACGCACCAGGTTTTTGAAATGCTGTGTCAAGTAAATCACATGGGACACGAGTTCTGTGCTATTCACTTATGCTTCATCCAGCTGAATGACCACTAACTGATCCAATCAACATATAACATTTTCAACTATGTTACTTCTTGTTTAAATCAGCTCAGACTGTAATATTTAGCAATAATAATATATTAGAATGTCATTTACAGCCAAGAGCCTTAGAATCACAGCCAAGGAATCAGGCTCATCGTTCAGAGCATTTGCCCATCCAGTCAGAACCGTTTAACCTACTTAACCGAACACCCGTTGGTTAGATGATGATATCAGATAAAAGACCATACAATTATCTCAGTACAGAGCCTTTTTCGGTATCGAAGCTTCATGCGTCACCCCAAACAGTGTGCCTCACCTGCTGTAAATGAATCTTCACTAAGCCTGTGATTATAGTTCATGCATTTAAACAGCGCAGGTTACGCAGTTATGCGGCAGCATTGACCCCATTGCGGTTGATCGTTAATTGACAATGTCATAATGATGCATTCGCTGTCTGAGCGCCCTGGTCTCAATCTGAACGTCTGAGTTGGATCTGTCCAAGCATGTCTTGCGCTCTGGGCTACTGGGTGGGTGCAGAGTCAGTCACATTGCATGCTAACTCCACAGATAAAGCCTTACCAATGAGTCTTGGTGCTTTGAGCACTTGTGCCTTCCCATATGTTTAGCAATAAACAACAAGTTCAAGACGCTCAAAAAAACGACACCCAGAGAAAGGGATGAATATTGGGACTAGTTTACAAGGAGTAGTCGAGATGACATGCAAGCCGGGGACAGAGAACTACCGCAGATTTTACACGCCCTGAGTGTGTGTGTGTGTGTGTGTGTGTGTGTGCACGTACAGTATATATGAACGCATGTGTGTTTGTCCTTTTCCTTAGCTGCAATTGGACGAATAGGCCCCAACGCTCCCAGTGGCTTGTGAATTAGGACACTTACTTCCATAAATATTTCAGCCTCTTTCTTATATAGGTCAGTTTTCTGTCTCTCTCACTTTCTCTCCTCTTCTTCCTACTTTTCTTCTCCTTGCCTGTCTATGTCTTATCCTCTTAGACATCTGTTCTGTAGTAACTTTGGTCACCAACTGTGTCCTGAGTGACTGGAGATCTACAGAGTGGGCAGATACAGTGGTGTAGATTTCAAAAGTAAGTCATGCATTTACATTTTCTTTATTTTTACCGATACGAGGTAACAAACATTGTGGGTGTCTTAGCTAACCTTAACTACCAAGTTGTTCTGAATCCTTCAAGAGCGGACCAGTCACTGAGGGATGCGCTATTTGCAATGCCGCAAGAACTGACAGGCTGAATAGGTAGTGCAGCATGTAAGTGCACTTTTAGCATTGGCATTTGCTTGTTGAAAAAGCATGTTGTAATACAGAGAGTATCTGTTAATATACATTTGTAATCGAAATTATTCAACCGACATTGCAAATCAAGTTTACTGGTAAAATTCAGACTTTCGGCTGTTTGCAATGAACAAATCAAACAAAAGTAATCAAAACAGCTCAAAACAACAAATTTTTCAAGTGGTTTCCCCAAATTCAAATGAAAATGCAACTTTTAATGACTTCTGCACTCCCAAAATTATTCAACCCCTTCATGGAACTTCCTTTTTCTGTTATGATCTGCTGCAAACAAGATGTCTAACCAGACACCAGCTTCTGGCAGCGTTTCTGAGGAATCTTAGCTCAATCCTCATGACCAATGGCCTCCAATTCAGTAATATTCTTGGGTTTACATAACACAGTCTCATCCCAAAAAGTCATATAACTGACGTCTTGGGACGTCTTTTGACCATACGTCAATATCCGCCTTTTAAGGGCCCCCTTAAACGTCGGTAGATGGCGATCCCGGGCCGTCATACAACTGACGCTTTACCTTTAACGTCAGGTGACGGGTTATGTTTAGGGTTAGGTTTAGGTCTGGGGTAGAGTTAGGATCCCATAACCTCATCTACCGACGTTTAAGGGGGCCCTAAAAAGGCTAATATTGACGTATGGTCAAAAGATGTCCCAAAACGTCAGTTATATGACGTCTTGGGATGAGACCGGGTTGGTTTACATCCTGCAACCACCTTTTCCAAAACCCAGCAGAGATTGTATATGGGGTTCAAGTCAGATTGTATATGGGGTTCAAGTCAGGTGACTGTAGAATCTTCCAGGACTTCTTCTTCAACCAAGCCTTGGTGGAATTGTGGTATGCTTGGGATCATTGTCCTGTTGGAAGGTCTAAGCTTCAGCTTCCTCATTGACGGCATTACGTTTTCTCCTAGGATTTCCTGATACTTCAATGAATCCATCTTGCCTTCCACACACCGCAGGTTTCAAGTGTCAGAGGATGCAAAGCAGTCACAGAGCATCACTGAGCACCACCATGCTTAACTGTAGATAACTGTAGCAGATGCTTCAT